TGATGAGTAAAGTTTAGTTAATAGTGGTGAAGGTTTTAAATATGCGATACTCATATTGATGAGTAAAGTAATAGGCTGTACACGAGTTACATTTAAGCAGTAGTGGAAGCTTTGAGAGTAAACATTAATAACTTATTAGTGAAGCTTATGCATATTCATACTCCTATGGGAACATCTTTTGGTGACAAAAATGTGTTCATAGTTGGCATTGTAAACATTGATCAAAAGTGAGTGATGAAATTGTCTACACAAATATCTATATTATTGCATAGTCAGAGCACTCTGTTGAGTTTGATATTGATAGGTATTTAACATAGTCTTCATATGATTATACTGAAAATTAAGATTTCTGATACATATTAATGTATTTTAGTACAGTCATCAGTAATAAATCACACTGATGTTCTGTATTGTATTTGTGGTACTTTCTGGTGTTTATCTTAAAAACAAAATTTCAAATTGCTAATCTGTCACTCCAATTCTAGGTGCCTTCTGGTCTTCCCAAGAATTTAGAAGCAGCTATCCAGAGGTATGGGTCAGCTACTTTCAAAGCCCCAGTTGTTACTGTTTTAGATACGAATGGGAAAATTGGGAATCCTCTTACATATGGTAAGTAACATTTAAAAGTTTCTTGAAAAAGCTAATTGTTATTTTCAATTTATTAATAATAAATGTGTAGCTTGGTGACAAAGGAAAGATTCATGGTATCTTGGTTTACAGAGATTTTATTGTGAGGATTCTTGTGTTATGCAAATTAAGGAGAACTTAATTAAACATAAAAGTTATCTTTCTTTTTGTGGAAAAATAATTCGTCATGTTAAAAGCTTATATTTTTCATTCTAAAACACTAGATTAGTGTTAGTTTCAGGAAAATTACTGAATGGAAGCCTTTTTAATATTTTTGTTTTGCAGTTGTTTGATTCATATTTTTGACTTTTTCTTTTTTTCCCCCAGGAAAATTGCTAAGTCGTACACACAAAATAGCGTATAATATTTTGAACAAAGCAGGACCAAAAGGAGAACTCGGAATCAAACCAGGAGATCGAGTACGTTTTTTCCAGTTAATATGATTATTGAACATTTTTACATGCTAGTTCGTGATATCTTTAATGCTTACTTTGAAATAGTACATTAGAGTTAGTTTTGAAAAAAAAACAACATCACATTGTTTCTGCTGGGATACCTATATTTGCAATATACCTGTTACATATGTGTATACTTTTAGAAGTAGGATATATTGTTTGAAGAGGAACCAAAAACATAGTCTTCATGAATTTTCTTGAACACACACAAAAATGGTTAAATCACCTTAATGTTGAAAAAAAATTAGGTGGTCAACGTCTTGGCCAAATTATTTTCATTAGGATAAACATGTTTCAACTTTAAATTGTAATGTATTCCTGCTTGTGCTGTGTATGTGATTTAGTTACACCAAATTAGCTTCTGAAAATGAAATCTCACCCTTGTTTAAACCTACATCATCATTTGTATTTGTGTGTGTTGTGTGGTTAAAGTTGTAGTTGGTACTATTTATGACAAAAGAGTTATTACTATTTACATCAAACAGATGTCTTATTGTTTTTAAAAACCATTGTTAATGCTCAAACTGAATATGAAAATGAAGTATGTATGTCTGTTCTAATCTACAGGTTGCACTTGTCTATCCTAACAATGATCCAGTTTCATTCATGTGTGCTTTCCATGGATGCCTCACTGCAGGTGTAATTCCAGTGCCCATTGAGGTCCCTCTCACAAGAAGGGTAAGTAGTGATGTTTTATTCAAACAGTAAAATGCTAGACAGCTTTAATATTATCATTTATTTGTGGTTTTAACAAGGTCATATTGAATCTTTAGATTCTCATTCATGATGCTTACTTGTAGTATCAGTACATTGTGATTAATGAGTGTTTATTGTAGTACAGCAAGTGTTTAAGAAATTGCAGAGAATTCTGTAAAATAAAAAGAAATATATATATATATATATTCTGAAATTGAGAATTATTTCAAGGCATCAGAATTATTCTTGTTAAAACTGTACACTCAATTGAGCATTAAATTGTTTCCTGCATGAAAGTTGTCAAAAAAGTTGGATGTGGTAAACGGTTCTTTTTTGATATTTGTTTTTACATTAATGGACTGTTGTATAAATTTAATACTGCAATCATAATGTGTTAATAATGTCTGTTTTTATTCTGTGATGTAGAGATAGATTTAATTAAATATATAAAAGCGATATTGTTCATTTATTTTAAATTTTTAATAGTATAGTTTTAGATAGTATAAGTCTTTTGATAGAAAGTTACTGACCCGTAGTTTTAGTTATGGATTACACTGTCACATTATTAGTTCTTAAGTCTGAGAGGTGTTTTATGCAGTATCTATATGCATGACAACATCTTTGTTGAAAATATTTTGTAGAATATTGTCCATGGACCACACATTGTAGCATTTTGATGTGTGTGTGTGTATTCTTCAGATGTTGAATTTTATATACATACATTTAAAAAATGACAGTAAGAAACAATCAAATTTAATTTGAATGTTTAGAGATGTGTGAAAAATCTTCATCAAATAATTGTCATTCTGCTGTAGATCATGTGGAGAAAGGAGCCTTGAATAAAATTATTTTTCATATTTACAATGCAATGAATGACCATGCTTTATCATCTTAGAAATTTAATGGTATAATTTCTTTCCTGGAGTACAGTTAATTTTTGTGTGTGTGAATTAAGAGGTTACATATATCCCCAGACCCTTAAATTGAATTTGGTTACTTGCTGTGTAAATACTGATGTCTTGTTTTTTTTATTCTTTTTAGTATTTCATATTAAGATTATTGTTCTGAAACAGAATTTCTTTTTTGTTATACTTTGCATAACATAAATGAACATGGTTTATCTTCTCTTCAGGATGCAGATTCTCAACAGATCGGGTTCTTGTTAGGTAATTGTGGAGTGAGTTTTGCCCTAACTTCTGAAGCCTGCTATAAAGGACTGCCCAAGACTGCGACAGGAGAAATCCATACATTCAAAGGTTAGTATTTGTGTGGTTTAGTGGAAATCTCGTGTAAACCAAATTATTCAATCAAAATTTGTTCTTGTAAAAGATTTTTTAATAAACAAATTACTGTTCATTTGATGCATATTAGTATGTTTGATAGATAAAATTTCACCCTATAAATTAAACTGTATTTTAGTTTATAAGAGATAGTTTGTTATATCAGTATATGTGCAATTAAGTATAGTTTTCATTAGCCATAATCTTATACTGAATTATTCATTTGATATCTATATTTAATAGGGCAGTTTGTCAGAGACATATGCTTTTGTAATTTAGAAAAATGTTTGTTACTTTTGTATTTGATGATGAAAATTGTTGCTACTTCACATATATTATTTTGCCTGTAATGGTTACCCATATGTAATAAGTCATGATGATAGTATTGTATGTGATAAATCTATATTAGAACAATTATTTTGTCTTTTTTACAATTCCATAGAAACTTTTCTTCCAAAGTGAAGAATATTAAGAATTTTATTAATTTCAGGTACAAGTATTTTTAATGTTATTTTAGATCATTAGAGTAATGCACATCCATCTCCTTGGTGACTGATGTAGTCAACAAACCTGTATTCAAGATGTATAGCAGTGTTTGAAAATTGAGCTTATTTATATAACCAAGATAATATGGAATATATCTTATCAGACAATTTTTGTTAGTGATTGACCCGTTGTTTTTGTAATTATTATGGTTTATATGTACTTTCAGTAACAGATTGATATGAATTTATATCAAGCTGTTATTTTCAAATGTACACCAACACCTATTTTATTGTTGTGCATTTTAAAAATAGCTGAATGGATTAATACTACTTACACTGGAAGAGGTACCATATAGTTAAGAATACATAGATTCAACCTAAGTGAACTGATTAAGATTTAATAAAAAAAATAAGTAGTGTAATGATAATGCAATTTACTAATTGGTAGGGTGGCCAAGACTTTACTGGTTCATCACGGAACATCTAAGCAGACCCCCAAAAGACTGGATGCCTCCCCCTAGGTTAACAGAAGAGGCTGCTGCTTATATAGAGGTGTGTGGGGAGGTCTTTACTAGTAGATAGTATTTTCCGATTAAGATTTTAAGAATAAGAACTTTATTTTTATGACACAATTTGCTGAGTTTTAATTGTATTTTGGTCCAGTCATGTATCTGTTAAATTGCTGATTGAGAATTCTTGACACTTAGCTTCATATGTAGTTATGATTTTAACATTTTTTAGAAATGGACCACTACATAGTTTGGTGCAAAAAATTAAAAACATTTTTATTAAGTTTTTGTCCTTTTTAGCATTATTCATAGAGTACCTATTGACTGTTATTTGTATAAAAGGCTACACTTAAAAAAAGTATTAATGATCTTAATTTTTTGAAAGGTTAGGTCTTTGATGTTTTTTCATGAAGACAACATCTCAGTGTTTTGAATTGTCTTTACCTATACTTAAAACTAAAATTGGATTTAGAAACACTTAAATAATATTAAAATGTTAGTTTCACATTGTATATTTTGTGTAACTTTTTTCTATATTATACTTTTAAAAAGACTTAAATGTCTCTAATACTTAGATTGTATTTAAAAGTTAGTGTGAGTTGTTCTTGTTTGTATGTTAGATGTGGATAGAATATTTTTGTGCTTTTCAATCATGTATGAAGTTAAAAATTTTCTTTGTGTTAACAGTAGGAACTTGTGAGATGTTTTAGTTGTTGGAGTGAAAACACCCATCTGAAGTAGTTTTATATAATTACAGAATGTTACATATGTTTTGATTTTAGTTTTAGTTTATTTTCATTTGTTTGTTTCTGGTACACTTATTGACAAAGATGGCTCAGTAAAAGGTGTAACAATAACTAGGTCAGCGTTGCAAGTGTTGGAGTGAAAACAATCATCTCAAATAATTTTATATAATTACAGAATGTTATATATGTCTTGAGTTTAGTTTTAGTTGATTTTCATTTGTTTACTTCCTGTACACTATTGACAAAGATGGCTCGATGAAAGGTGTAACAATAACTAGGTCAGCTTTGGCAAACCATTGCCGAGCTCTGACAGCAGCTTGTAATTATACTGAAGGTACGTGGAGTAATAACACTTTTGTTATTAATGTTATTTCTTTGATTTTTCTAAAAATACAGTATTTGCTTCTAAATAGATGAGTAACTTGTAGATCGTTTTTGAAGACTTTGTTAATTTTTTAAAATCTGTTTTGGACTTTGTTAATTTCCGTTTTTGTCAGTGAATTTGGATTAAGTGTGTATAGTGTTGTAAAATAAAGAATGCTATAGTTTACTGTTATGGATAAATGCAACAGAAACATCCAAAGGACAGTATTTTGTTACAGTGAGTTTGTAGATTTGAAAGCTACATTTACCTTTTAAGAATGATGTCTTATGTTTTTAGAATATCTGGTATTGTATTTAAAAAATGTTTTATTTAACATTATTATAGGAGAGGTGATGGTTTGTGTTTTAGACTTCAAAAGAGAGGTTGGGCTATGGCATAGCATTCATACCGTAAGTATTTTGATCTCTTTGCTATTTTTGTGGATTTAGCATTAGTTGTGAAAAAGAAAATTCAGTAGAACAAAGATAATAGTTTTCACGAAATTATTGTAATTATCCATTTGTAGTTTGTACACGTCTGTGTATATGTATATATTACAGTTCAAAGGTTGTGTTTTGTAGATTTACATTTTTTTGTATTTGTTACCAAAGATTGTTTCATTTTGTTATAGACTCTTTTATTATTAAAATTATTTTTCCTCAAGGGAATTATGCAGTAAATTGAAATCTTGAAATAGTCATATATTCATCTAGTATATTTAAATGAGAATTTAAAAAAAAATTTTTTTTATAACAAATGTTTACATTCTCCTTGACAGTGGTCAGCTGCATTGAGTAATTTTGAAGACGAAATGTTTTTAAATTGTAGTCCATTTAATACTAAAAGCCAGTATAGAGTGTTTTGACAAGTTTATAATTTTATAAATAAGTATTAATAACTCTTTCAAGTCACCAATTTTGAAACACACATTTCAGATACATTACATGAAATCCAAAACACCTTTTGAAACATAAATGTGATTTTCTTGGTCAGCTTATGATTTTAATACAATCAAACTCACCATGTAACTTAGCCATTTATTAAGCTGTTATGCGTACATTGCGTAATTACTGATATAATTGTTTGCATGGGTACATTTACAATTATTAGGCCTAATGAGAGAAACTTTGTTGAGAGAAATGTTTCAATAAAAAATCATATAAAGTATTAAACTAATGTAAGTAGATAGTATTTATCTCACTGTTTTATACATAAAACGTATTTATGGCATACCTAAAATAATGTATGTAATGTGTTAAAAATATGGAATTAACTTGTTTTATGAATGAGTGAAAATATGATTTTAACATTGCTTGTTTATTGTATATAAAAAATTAACTGCCAAGATAATTACTTTAATAAAATAAATAAACACGCAGGGAAACTAATTAAGTTAATTTAATACTTTTCTGTGGCTTACAAATAACAGAATACCATAACTAAATGACAGCAAAACTCCTGTACCACCTACAAATGCATCCAGTCAACTTTGAGGTGTTATATCAATCTTTTAAATTCTATTTTTGATATATAAGGAAGAAACTTTACAACAAATAGATATAGATTGTAAAAAAGAAAATAATCTCAGGTTTTATGTGATAACTTCAGAAACAAAATAGTTGAATTTTATAGTTCTTGATATTACCAATTTAAAAAAATTCACTGTTTTTAAAGTATTTTAGCTGAAAATAAGCTTCAAAATTAGTGAAAGTCTATGCATTTCCAGCTTTATTTTGTCTATTGATAAGTTTTTCCCCAGGAAGAAAATTTAATGATTTCCACCATATGAATAAAAATTCCAACTGGGGGCCAAAAATGACAATTAGGCTAGATTTTTTATATATTTTTAATTAATTCATCCAAAGCAATTGTTAATAAAACTTAAAAATCAAAAGAAAATTTTTTATCTCAACATTTCAGTTATAATTTAATTTTGGGAGATACATCACAATTTTCAAAAAAACCTCATGTCGCACATTTTCTCTGGTATGCCCGGACTGGAAAGGGTTAAGTACAGTACAAATATGGTAGCATTTATTTGAAGCTATTTTTTTAATGAATACATTATTAATAATCACCATAAAGCTACAGTGTATCTTGTACTACTAGATGAATTCAATTTTCTGAAAGTGCAAAAGGTACTTTTGAGTAAAGGTTTTATTTTAATATATGCATTCTTTTATTTTGCAGAGTGTCTTCAATGGCATGCATGTCATCTTTATTCCGTATTCACTTATGAAAATTAATCCAGCTTCATGGATGTTAATGATAACAAAATTCAAAGGTTGGTATATCAATCTTAAATGTTTTATCCTTCAGTCACAAGTCTCTCAAATTAATTGCCTTTAAAACAATGCTTTTGAAGTGTTTAAAATTTTGGCTTATATGTTCAGTTAGGACATTAATTCTCACATGCCTGCATGTGTCAATTTAAAGCACTTGTTGTGTGGTTTGTTTTTTGCATTACAAAAAAAATCATTACTGGATAAAATATTTAGAAACTTCAGAAGAACTTTCTACAGATTATACAGTTTTTGTGAATAAAATATTATTTGATGTTTGATATTTATATGAATGTGTAAAGTTTAAAGATTTTAAAAGATTTTTTAATATTTGTTTTAAAGAAAATTAAAAATGCTTATCAGTATTTTAGAGTATTGGTTTTTATGTTTTCTTACTTTCCTGTAAGTTTTTATTTGTTTTGATTTGAATACAGTAAAAAAATACTTTCTCATCAAACGAGAAATACAAGCAAGTTGAATTTTTTATGTTGTTAATCAGAAGGTTTCATTTAATATATGTAGTAAATTTTAAATCTGTTTTATATTTGTATATTTATATATATATTTTGTACATTTTCGTTCAATGATTTTCTTTGCCCATTCAAGCAGTTACATAAGCCAGTAAGGACTAATGTAAATACAACCTAACACAGCAACCATGTTGACAGAATGACACATGATACAGTTGAGTGCAAAATAACTTAGTTAAAACTACCTTCATGGAAAACATTTCCTGTTATACTGCAACATCATAACTCAAACTAAAAAAGCATAAAACAAGCTTTTCACAACTTAAAAAAATCACGACTGTAATATTGGTTGAAGCTGTTCACAAACGTCTTTTCTTCCAGCAACATATCATCAAGCTAAGCTTTTATCACTTTGTTTTGATCCTTGCACGAATCTCCACTGAACTGGAAACCATAGTGGCTTTTAAAGTTGAGAACAGAAAAAGTCTTTCAGTACATGTGTAGATCACTAGCGTTTGACTTTTCAAAGCTGAAGTATAAGCAATTACATTTCACCATGACAGCTGAAGTGATTTTCTTAAATGAATAAATCTACACTTGTATTGAAGCTATAAGGCCAAATTAACTTTTTTTAACTGTTTGAACATTCCTCTTTGGGGACTTTGAGTGCTTTATGCTGAGAAAAATCAAGATATTGCTTCAGAGCATGCTATATCAATCCCAAGTTCAAAGTTAATTTTTTTTATGTATAAATTTAAAAAAATGGTTGTTTTTTGAATAAATATCAATTCGGAAGTATATTTATTAAATGTGTGAAAGAATGTCTATATGTTATATTTCTGTAATATTTTTAATTCAGTGGTTTAATTTTGCATCAGTCCATGCTTGATAGTTAAATTATGCTATCTCTCAAATTTCTTCTTTAATTTCATTCCTAATTTCAAGAAAAACATTCATAAGCCAAATTATTAAAATATGAAGTATAAAACTTGTAAAAGGTGTTTATTGTGGATTTCATTCCAAAAAGACCATTTTTCATAGAAGTAGGTTATAAAAGAAATTGTATGAGTAACTGATAAATATTTTTGTTGATATAGCTAACATGAGCTGTTATAAAGATTGTAATTTGTGAAAGTTACGTTTTAATATCCTAATTTGTATAAAAATTCACAGAAAAAATATTTAATCCTTCAAAATCCGCCATTTATCACACTTTTTCCCAGCCTTCCTTGATAGATGGTATTACATCCTGAAATTTATTCAACTGTAATTTTGTGCTTTTCTTAAGAGTGTGTTGTTTTTTGTACAAGGTGTGTTAGATCAGCCTCTGATTACATTTTCATTATAAGTATTAAGAGTATATGTTTCCAGATGTTTAATATTCCCATTCCTTCACTACTTTTTTTTAGCTACTTCTGCTATATGTAAATCTCGTGATTTACACTGGGGTTTACTAGCTTCGAAGGATCATAAAGATGTTAACCTGAGTTCTTTAAGGATGTTGCTTGTGGCTGATGGATCTAATCCATGTAAGTTGTATCACAGAAGGGCAAATGTATCTTAACATCATTTGTGGCTGATGGGTCTAATCCTTACAAGTGAGATCATAAGACTTAAAATGTCAGTCACTTTTTACAAATATTGTTCGTAAGTTATGTATTTGAATATGTACTCAACTTTGAATAAAAAGACTGTTAATTTTAGTTTGAAGATCTAATCTGCTTTTAAGTTTTAACAGTGCCTCATATTAAAAAAAAGATTTGGAAGGTTCACTTATGTTTGGTTAATGTCAGTTTCTGAAATGAGTTATTTCACTATCTTCCAGGGTCTTTGTCATCCTGTTAATTTTAGTTTGAAGATCTAATCTGCTTTTAAGTTCTAACAGTGTCTCATATTAAAAAAAAGATTTGGAAGGTTCACTTATGTTTGGTTAATGTCAGTTTCTGAAATGAGTTATTTCACTATCTTCCAGGGTCTTTGTCATCCTGTGATCAATTTATGAGTGTCTTCCACAGTAGAGGGTTACGGCCTGATGCCATCTGCCCTTGTGCTGCTACTGGAGAATGTCTTACTGTAGCTGTCAGAAGGTAAAGTTTTTTATTGTTTATACAATATCATTTATACATATCATTAAGTTGGAATTACAAAAATGCTTCTTCAGCCATAATCACCGATTTACTCATTTGGAATTTAGAAATTAGATATGATTATTAGTAAAATGAAAATTAAATATTTACCATATTTTAATAATAAAAAAAAATAACTTGAAAAAAAAGTTGATCAGTGAAAATTTAAGTTAAATATTTAACACCCTCGCTATTGGCTCGGTCGAAGCAGCTGTGTGTGTGACCCCAAAATGACCTTTATAGTTTTCATACTATAATTCTTAACATGTTTTGTGTATCGTCATAAAATTTTGCAAGCTTCCAGTAAACATTACAAGTCTTTTATACACAAAAAAACCAGAATTTTTAATCAAGTATTTTTCTCCATGAATATATGCTGTTAAAATTCACTGCTTGAGAGCAAAGTGATTTTCACATTAAGATTAAAAATACCTTTTTAATCTGAAAAGTGTCACATTTCATTTGCATAATCTATAAAATCTCCTAAATAAATTTCAACCATTTTTTTTTCAGTAAAATTTTGTTGATCAGTTTAATCAGTCTCATAACCACAAAACAACAACAAAAAAGTCAAAATAAATATAAATTACCCTTTTCTATAATGACTTCAAATTGTAACATGAAATTACATTTGTTTATCCTAATTATCTTTAAACTTGTAACAGTATTATTTGTTTCTGCTTAAATTTTGTTTTACTGCCATTTGAATTATGTCTAACTAATATTCCCACCACACAAGTTGTAAATAACATGACAAATGTGTAGTTCATGTTACCTTATTGAATTGCTGTAACGTGGGCTACTTGGGAGTTACTCGCAAATGTACCTCATGAAAATTTTTTATTCTTATTATTTATTTTACCATATATAACTTAAAAAGTTTCTTATTTTTACATTTTAGTTATTTATATAATAATAAATAAAGAATACACATGAAAAACAAGAAATATAGTATTTACCTGGGCCTCCTTTTTTTTACTGTCGATAAAACTTAACCCTACCTTTTTATACTAATGATACTACTGCACCAAATAATTTTAACTTAATCAAATAATATACTAAAGAACACAGAATAATAACACATAAAAAGCAGACAAAATCCTATAACTATCACAGTTTTTCTGGCTTTCTAACTATGTGACAAGAACCATTAAAATTCAGCTAAGCTTGTCATGGGAATAAATTTTAAACTGGAAGAAAATACTCTGTACAAAAAACAACGTAATATGATACATCATTTGATAGATTAATGCTGGGTTTTCCTTTCTGTTTTTCGTAATAAAATGAGTGATTTTGTTCTTATTTTTTATCACGTGTTTGTACCAAGTGCTGTAACAACCAGAAACATGAAATTGTTCAATATGATGATATATGTGAACCCGTACTGGTAGTGAAAACAAGTATAAAAAGAAGTCTGTAATTTAAGGGTTAAAATAAGTTAGATTTATAGTGGTGAATTTGATTGCCTTCTGTGATTTCTTTAACTAGTCAGTTAAATAAGTTTTTATTATTTTTCAATGTGTAGTTGACAAACACAACTCTATTAAAGTTAGACTTTTGTTTTAAATTCTTAGACCTGGTCGAACTGGACCTGGATCCAGTGGTAGAGGAGTGCTGTCTATGTCAGCTTTAAGTTATGGAGTAATTCGAGTGGATCAGGAAAACAGCCTTACTTCCCTCACTTTACAAGATTGTGGACTAGTCATGCCTGGTGGTCAGTTTTCTTGTTATATAAGAACAAAACAAAATTGTGCATAGAAAAGCACAGTTTGTTGAGGATACTTTTCTAGTTACTGTTAATATGTAATACTCAAATATTATGTGCTAATTTTTTCTTAAACTATAGTGTTATAATATGGTATGCAGAACCCCCCAATATATATATACATATATATATATATATATATATATATATATATAGAAATACATACATATATATATATAGAAATAGATAAATAGCTCAATGACTATCTATTATAATTATTGCAATTTAGATCAGCACTATTAAAAAATAAAGAATTTATAATCATTTAATGCATATACTTTTGCTTCCAGTCATCAATAGTCATAAACAGATGAAACTTGTGGTAATAGCACCCAAAAAGTGTTGGGAATATCGCATCTTTCAAGCAAAATCCAAAATGCTGAAGTTAAACAAGTTGATCATCATGGTAAATCAAAACAAGGGTCCAGAGGTGAGTGCTTAAACCACAATGTCTCACCTCCTACTGCCTTTCACTATCTGCACCCTTGTTTTGACTTTATATGATGGTCTACTTAACTTCAGCATTTTGAATTCTGCTTGACAGATGGGATATCCCCAAAGCTTTTTGGGTGCTATTACCATAAGCTTTATCCAGTTACGACTATAGATGATTGATCGGAAGCAAAAGTATATGCTTTAAATGATTATTATTGGTCTGCAAACAAAAATGTTTGGTGACCACTAGCTTAGTAGGAATTTTTCCAAAATTTATTTATTTATTTCAGTGTGGAAATAAATTAATTACCATTTTAATTTTTAGTTTTATGTAAAAATTACCATTTGCAGTCTAGAACATTAGCACCATTTACAGTGTATCTAAGCTTATCACAGTTTAAATTAGGTAAAAATAGTTCATGAAATGTTTTGTTATAATTTATAAAAGAATTTGAAGCTGTTCCAGTGATAATGTGACAAACATTTACCCCTAATATTACATATCAAGTGAAATTTTTTTTTAACATGCTGTTTTCTAGGAAAAATAATTTTTTACACATTTAATCATTTACAGATAGAACTCATGATGTGTGTTACATAATCTTCATATGTTTTGATTAAGTACTCTTAATTTATCTTTTAGTTTTATATGTTGCTATATTTTAATACTTGAAAATGTGGAAACATCAGGGAGATCTTATCATTACATTCTAGAGCAGCATTTAAGTAATATCTTTAAATTTTCTGTTCTTTTTTATAGCTGTAGTAGCAGTTGTGAAAGTAAATGATCAACCTTATCTCTGTAAAACCGACGAAGTAGGGGAGCTCTGTGTAAGCTCATTAATGACCGGGAGTGCTTACTGGGGACTTCAGGGTCTCACGAACAGCATATTTAAGGTAACTGGAAATAGAATATAATTTACTATATGTATGTGTATTGAATACTTTAGTCTTACCAACAATATTTTTATGATAACTGTACATTGAAAAAGGTAGAGTATTAACCTAAAGACATTACATAAAATATAAGGTAACTGTAATGAAGAGATAATTAAAGGAAGTGCCCTGTTATTAAAAATTAAAATTTGTTTATTGTAGGATACACAGAGTGTAATATCTGTGGTTACAATGTTTACCTAGCATTATCATGTACAACTACTAGTGTAATATTGTACTGTATATATATCTATGGTTACAATGTTTAACCAGATTAACCTAGCATTATCATGTACAACAACTACTGGTGTAATATTGTAACTATAGATATTATACTGTATATATATCTATGGTTACAATGTATAACCAGGTTAACTTAGCATTATCATGTACAACAACCACTGGTGTAATATTGTAACTATAGATATTATACTGTATATATATCTATTGTTACAATGTTTAACCAGGTTAACCTAACATCATCGTGTACAACAACTACTGGTGTAATATTGTAACTAAAGATATTATACTGTATATATATCTATTGTTACAATGTTTAACCAGGTTAACCTAACATCATCCTGTACAACAACTACTGGTGTAATATTGTAACTAAAGATATTGTACTGTATATATATCTATGGTTACAATGTTTAACCAGGTTAACCTAGCATCGTCGTGTACAACAACTACTGGTGTAATATTGTAACTATAGATATTGTACTGTATATATATCTATTGTTACAATGTTTAACCAGGTTAACCTAGCATCATCAAGTACAACAACTACTGGTGTAACATTGTAACCATAGATATTATACTGTATATATATCTATTGTTACAATGTTTAACCAGGTTAACCTAACATCATCAAGTACAACAACTACTGGTGTAACATTGTAACCATAGATATTATAAGGTAACTGTGTTTTGAAAAATGTACAAAATTACTTAGAGTCTTTAAGAACAGTATATTTAAAGTATTATAGTATGGATATGAGTATGAAAGTTACAGTGCACTGAAATAACCTAAAATTAAGAAAGTACCTGTAACTCAAAACTTTATTTTTAAATAAGAGTAATTAGTAGATTAGTTCTTTAGAAGTATTCTGATAGATTTTTTTCGCATTGTATCATCATACTTGGTTTGCCATAATATTAGGTCGTCAAGAAATTAATGTCACTTTTTCTTAGATGAAAAAACCCGAACAACTTGTATATCGAAACAAAACATTTATAAAGTGAAATGGTCTCCATTCTTTTCGATGATGTTTTTTCATCTTACAATCAGTTTCTTAATGCCCTGATTAAAGAAATCACTTGGCTTTGAAGCAAAAACCATGTCAATATCCTCTTTAATACCTTCCACATTTGCATACGTTTTCCCATTAAGATGGTATTGCGGCGAATGAAAAAGATGATGGTGCCATATCTGGAGGATATGTTGGGTAGGGGAGAACTTCCCAACCCAACTCCATAATCTTGTGTTGTGTCAAACGTGCCACACGTGGACATGCATTGTCGTAGAGAAGAAGAACACCTTTCTGATTGATGAGTGAAGGGCATTTCTGATGAAGGGCTTGATTTAAATGTTACATTTGCTGACTATAGATCTCTGCATTGACAGTTTGCTGTGGATTGAGGAGTTCAAAATGAATTAATCCTTTGATGTTCCACCGAATGTAAAGCATCACTTTCTGTGGATGGAGTCCAGGTTTTGGCGTCGGAAGTGGTTTTTGTCTAGGACTGAGCCATTGTTTTTGGCATTTAATATTCGCATAGAGAATCCATTTTTCATCACCGGTGACAGTGGTTCATGTGCCTTATGTGCCAGAAGAGACAAAGCAACGTTTATACATTGGAAACGGTGATCATCGGAGAGTTCGTGAGGCACCCAAACACCTTCTTTATGGAGTTTTCCCATATTCCTTAGAAGTTTATGCATTATTTCATGAGAGACATGTAATTTCAGGGCCATTTCATGAGTGTGTT